ATATATTCATTATTTAACAGAAAAACTATTTCTTTTAATGTTAAGGAATCAATGAATCAACTATATCAACAAATAATGATTAGAAAAATCTTAAAAATACCATTTAATTTCCCTTCCTTAATAATCACCCCTTTTGTGCGCCAGAATCTATGCAACATTAAGGGCTAGGTATTTTTAGGTCGAGATATTCGCCTACAGCTTTTATACTTGTTTAAATTAATATTTTTTTCTAGCAGCTGTTGATTTTTGCTTGGGGCGCCGCCGCCACTCGAGTTTCGAGATCTCATCCAACTTTTTTGGCTCTTATCACTTTTTTACGCCAAGCAATCATTTGCATAGTCTCATGTCCTTGCCCACCACACGCCCTCTCTTTATATACACACATTTATTTTCCTTTCTATCGCCGCTCGGCCCATGTTTAGCGTATTTATGCTAATTAATCATTTCGACATGGGAAATCCAATTTGGTTCGCCGAATTTTTTGATGCGAAATTTAAGATTCCAAGAAGTTTGCGAATTGGGAATTGCATAAATTAAAATATTTAGATTCAGGGAAACACACAATAAAATGTTTAATATTTACTTTAATATATTTATTTATTAAGGGATTCTCCAATTATTTGCAAAGGCTTTTAATAAAGTCTCAAAAGTAAGATGCTAGCAAGCTGCAACCCAAAAAACAGAATTCTTAATTTGCTCTAAAGTAGACAAAACTTTGTTAAGAAAAGCCAGATTAGAATTTGCCTGAAATGCATATTTGAATTTTAACTTTTAAGGCAAGGTCAACTCAAAATTTACTGCTCTCACTTAAATTGTAAAAAAGAAAATAAAACAATTGAAAAGACAAACAGAATTAGACAACCGCTGTGAGTAGGTACTCGAGTTCACAAAGATATGAGCCCGAGAAATGGTAGATAGTGCAGCCACAATGTCGAGTCACAGGAATTCCAGCACTCTGCTCCATTTACTCACTGAGTCTGGGAAGTCGAAACCATTTAATTGTCAGGCCATGTCCATGGATACCCCCTTCGTTTCTGGGTTGTGCAAGTCCCACACGCACATGGTCGAAATTCTTGGCATAGTTAGGCAAATAATTCCATGTGGGTCGCACTCTAGATATTTATATATATATGTACTTCTGCACCCAAAGACCCCCGCCAAAGACCCAAAGCCAACTTGAACAGCTGCCCAAAGTCGCCTGTCTGTGGCCCATGTGCATATCCATAACCATATTCTTTTAAATATACATTTTTTTTTAGCTTGTTTTTGTCTTTAATAAAATGTGCCAGCAGCTGCAAAAAATTGGCAAGGCACAAAAAATGCCCGAAATGCACTTTTACTTGTCATTAATTTGTATTTAAGGTATTTCTACCACACATTTGGTACTCAGAACAAAGCAAACAGTAAATTGTTTTCGGCTATATTTAGTAAAACAAATTGCCAAAAAACTTGGCTGAAATAAATCAAATTAAAATGCAGCGCAGCAGAAGTAAATATTACGCAATCAACAGGCTCATACGTCACGGAGTGAATTGCGAATGAAATTGAAAACGACGAAACTCAATTCGCATTGGGGGTGTGAGTATTTGTATATACCATATATGTATGTTAGAGTGGGCCGATTTGCAATATTGCGTCGCTTTCAATTGAATTTTTATGACACGAGCCCCAGTCTCAATTTTATTTTATTCTTTCCGCGAGCTTTTTTCTACTGTGTGTCTTATAACACTCATCATTAACGGCATTTCCTTTGTCTACAGATATCTGTCACCTTTTGTTTGCTTAAAGCCATAAATAAATAGGAAATTTACGGGAAAACAAAGTCTGAATTTTTAAATAAATATATAAATTAATAGAGATATGTATATGTAAATTTTTTACAAACTAATAAAAGTTTCACCAAAAAAATGACTATTACAAAGTTCTATTAATTTAATAGATTTCAATATTTTTTAAAGAAGAAAAGCTTTTAAACATAAGAAAATAAGTATAAATAATTCCTCAATTTTCTGTATTTAGTCCAACGATGTCAATGTTGACCATAGTTTTCAGGAAAACCCCAGGTTTCATCTGGAATCCATCAAGCAGTTTGTTTATGGCAACAAAAACCGCCCAGAACAAATCTCTAAAAATAAACAACTAGCAACAAATGGCTGAATCATTTCAGTGCCAGTACTCGGTATTCCTTAGCTTTCAAGGGACATTACTCATACGCCCCACTGGCTATGATCGCATCGAATCGCATCGCATCCAATCGCTTTTCAGCTGGCTGAGCTCATGCGCCCCAGCGTATGCGTAATGAGCCGCAAATGTTAATTGTTCTATAAACATTCGAGCCAGCAATTAGTAAGCCAGCAACAGCAACAACAAGATCAAAAAGAACAACAACATTCAACGACGACGATGAGAGGCTTCCCCCAATCACACAATCACACACAGCAATATACACACATTCAATGAACAAACTGGTAAACTGGTTGCAGCAACCTCGTAACCAGTTTTCTCGAGCAAAAATAAAAGACCTGACACAAGAGCTAAAAAGAAAAAGAGGCTCAAAAGCGATGACGACGACATTGCCAATTTCAATCTACCGTACACGTAGAAAATATTTGAGATCTAGATTTAGTTATGCTATTAATATGCTTTTTAATATTACATTATTTTTTTTATAATGATAATGATACAAAACCTTAACCAAATTAAAAAGTAAGATAAATTCGTTAGGCACAATAATCAATAAGAATCTTAAATAACTTTCAAAGCAAAAAGGTTAAATTTACAAAAGAAACTTTAATAAAATAAATTTTAATACACTTGTTTTAATACAGTCAATTAAATTTTAAAATCACCTAAAGTTGTTTAATTTTTTGGTACAATATTAAACCATTAATAAAACCGTAAAATTATAATCAGATGAGTGAACGCACTATTCTACTCATAGATTTTTTTTTTTGCTTAGTTTTTTTTGCGTACAATCTCGAATGTAACTTTTTATATTCCACAATTTTAAAAAATAGTGCCATAAAGGTATTTTATTAAAAATAATCGAAGTATACTTTTATACACCTTTATAAAAGTTAGAAAATCTTTATTTCCAGCACGCCGAATATAATTTTGAAAACATTTATATTTTTTAATTATAAATGGTTTGATAATCTTTAAAATAGATTGAAGATCCCTGTGGCAAGCAACAAAGTAACGTTAAATACTAATCATAATATTGATTAAATATTTATTCAATTGGCATAAGATTGAGAAGTGAATTTATTTTTTTTTCGTGTGTTTGTGGCTGCTGCTTTGATGCGCATGTTTCCGCTTTGGCCAGAAGATGAAAAAAAGAGAAGCCGCAGCCAAAGTTGGTCGCCAACAAGTCGCGGCCATAAACAAGTGCGGCAGGTGGTAAAAACGCTGGAGCTTGGAGATGCGATTCGATTGGAGATGGAGATGCGTGCGCAATCGGGGCCGCGTTCTCGGCTTTCGCGGCCAACAAACAGACAGGCTACCTGGGCCAACTTCTTTTCCGTTTTCTGCACTTGGCCAGGCTGCCTTAGCCGCCTTTGTCGCATTTCTGTTAGCCTGGTGCCTGCTTTAATTTGCATGCAGGTTTTTTCCGCTTCATCTCGCTCTTGTCTCTCTTTTTGTAGCCTTGTAGCTTTTTAGCACAATCCGCAGAGTTGTGGACTGCGATCCTCATTGCATATTTACGGGGGCGCCGATTTCAAGAGGGGATCGGAATCAGAATCGTTAGCTTATCGCTGATGCGTTCAAAGTGCAGCCACTCGAGGCGACTTAACTCGAGTGCCTTACAACATCTATTCTATGGAGCTGACCACAACCGGACAGGCGATAAGCAGTCATCATGCCCCATTCAAAAACACACAATCGTAATTAAATGCTCTAGATGGGAAATGGGGTACTTCCCGACACTGAGAAAAAAATTCACTTGTTCACTCTAAAACTAGACTGATTCTTTATGGCTTAAATTGCCATTGAATTTAAGAAGAATTTATTGCATGGCGACAAATCAAATTTGATTTCCATAATATTTTTATTGCATTAATTATAAAATCTGTTTTCAAACAAATATTGACATTTGTACATTTTAAATAGACATTTAAGAAAATAATAAAAACAGCCTTTTGAATTTCTTAAGAGCCATTTTAAAGGCGAATAACATTTATTTTTCTTCTAAGATTTTAATTATATGTTTACTAGGCCAACTTCCGCATAATTAGGGTGAATCCCCACCTCGTTTTCCATCGGAAAAGTGCGTCATTCGGCGAGGGTTTTCAAGCAGCTGCTAAGAAAAACGAATCTCAAAGATTTTTCATCGGAAGCGTTCGCTTGTTGTAAGCCACAAGGTGTATTTTTAGTGCCTTCATTGGGAATTTCGCCACAATTTGGCAAAAACATCTCGAGGTATTTTTGGCCACTCGTCAATGCGTTTTTTCACGTTCACTTTGCGCGAAGAAATTTAGAAAAAATATTTCAAATTATATCGGTACGCGCAGAAAGAGATTGAAATTCTCCCACAAAGCGTGCGTCTATTTTAAAATTGGCAAAACAGAAGAGCGCAACCGAATTGGCTTGTAAACATTTTGGGTGGAAATGAATTTTCAGCTTGGTTTGATGGCCTCCGTCTGCCGCCATTTCGGATTTTCCACGCCCCATGGAAATTGGCAACAGTTGGCTCAGCTTCTTCTCGGTTTTTCCCCCACGCCATTTGAATACTTTATTGACTATGAAGTGTATAAAATGTGTATCTGTGTGTGTGTGTCAGATGTGCTTTCCTCGGTTCGATTTTCCCATACTCTTGGTATTTTCCTGGCCTTCGTTTTTGACGTCACCAAGTGAAATGCCAGCGGCTACTTTGTGGGCGAAGCTTTTTCTCAGATGTATAATATTGAAAATGCACTTGAAAATTGTCTACATTGTGTAGAAGACTTATAGAATTTTCTGTAAGACATATATTTTAATATCTTGATGTCTTTTATTTTCAGAATCTACTGTGAATTCACGCAAGAGTGCTTTGGAAACGGCACGTGAAAAACTTAAAGGTGAGTTGACAATCTTTTGTTGAAATTAAATGAAACAGCAATTGGAAACCAAGATTTACCACGTCATTCAGTAATTGAAATTTCCCAACTGAACAGTATAAATTCAATTGCCCTTATAGCATTCGACTTGATAACTCAATCAAAATATTTACCATGACTCAGAGTAAAACTGGCAATCTGTTACCAGCTATCGCAGTTTATAAACCATAGACGTTCTATAGTATTCATTTGAATCTAAACTACCTACGAAAGAGAAATATACCAGGAGATTTATTAATGACCTTCAGGGGTCTATCAATAAAGTTTACCGGAAAAAAAAAGTGAACTAGAAATGTTTATCTGTGGGTAAAGCAGCGAGGGGAAAAGCAGATGGACTTCCACTCATGTCGAATGGCGTTTAATACAGTTGTTATGGGTGCCAAGCACAAAAGCAATCTCACAGATACACAAGCGAGTGCTTAGCGATATTGATAAAGTGCGTGCTCTGTACATAGGCATGAAATAATGAAATAGAAGCGATGAGAGCTTCGGTTGATAAGGCCAAATGGCGTGATTCACGACAGAGTTCGCACACCGATACTTGTGGTATACTGTATATACTTGTACTCGAAAGTGAGCCAAGCAGATACATCTATACAAATCAGCAGCAATAAAGTATATGCGTGTCTTAATGGGTGTGTGTGTGTGTGTGTATGTGTGTGTGTGTGTGTGTGTGTGTGCAAGCGTATCGAAGAAGATTATGCGATTATAGATACTTTGCCGAAGCCAGCCGCATTTCACTTTCGTTTCGATAAGCTTAAACGTGACGTAGATACCAATAATAATGATATTATTGCGATAGCGTAACTGGAGTGGCTTACAACTCGGGTCATTCGGTCTAAAGTATCTGTCAGAAGAACCTGAAAGAAAATAAAGGATAAGATTGACATAGTTATATCTTGATTAAAGGTCAGATAAATAATATTTTATATTTAATTAATTGAAAATTCGGAAAAAAAATCCATAACCTTCTTCTAATATCAAACTTAAAATGCCGCATTCATATTTAAAATCACCTTAAATAAAGAAAGCTATATACTTACAGAAACGTTTAAAATAAGCAAATTGTTAAAGTATCTTTGGCAGCATCTTAACCTTTCTATGCCATTTACGAGATCAAAGATACATTTGTGTCAGAAAGAAAACCCGGGAATGATTTTCACCAGAATCAACCTAGCTCATCAGCACTACCTGCTTATCCCAAAAGTCCCTCTAGATGGGTGTAATTTGAATTTGAATCTGATGCCGTGCCATTTTTAATTGCTGCCCTGCCGAAAAGTCTGACCTGTGCGGGGATTAAGGACCTTTTGCTGTTGGCCTAGCGCCAGGTTTAAATGCGTCAAGTCAAGTGGCCCAGTAAGCCCTACTTATATCCCTTTGCTGTCCGGGGTCTATTGATGATTTTATGGGTTTTACCCGGGAAAATCTTCTGCTGACCGGCGTAATGATGCCATTCCGTCTGTTCTGGCTATTTTTTTTGTTTTTTTTTCTCTTACGATTTCGTTTTGGCCAGGTAAGCAGCGAGCAAATCCATTGACGCAAGTGATTAAGCTGTCTCGCTGATGTCTGGGCCAGCAGAAAAGCAGAAAAGCATAGCTAAACCGATTCAATTAGCTGACATGTGAAACTATAAACAGCTGCTGGCGTATGCAAATATGCGGCCATGATGTGGGCACAAATGAAAAAAAAACGAATAACAAGCAGGCCCAAAAAGCCCATGCAGTTTACAGCAAAGAGAACCCTGAGATTCAGATGCAGATGCAAATGCAGATTTCGAGATACTCGTTCGTATATGCGTATGGGCGACAATCAGAGAGTCTCTTGGAGATATATCTCAACATTCCACGGCATATTTTCGTTGGCGTCGTTCGTCTGCGATCGCCGCGTTTTGCGTTTTATTTACTGCTCTCGGTGCGGTGCTTAATATAAAGCGATTTCATAGACGCTACAAGTACGTCGACAGAACAACAGACATCGTGCCGAAGAATGTGTACAAAAGTATCTGTATCTCTGTGCTGTATCTCTGGCCGCTGTGCATCTGTATCTGTATCTGAGTCTGTCCGAGCCCAGTCGCCAAACTGGCGATTTCCAATCAGCCGGAGCAACAGCAGCCAGCGGCATCGACACTCGAATTGTGTACACAAAACTATCAAACAGAGCACTCACGAATCTCAAGTACCCTGAGAAGCACAGTCGTTAGAGAGTAATCAGTCCAGGGTGATAGATTTTCCAACAAAAAATTATGATTTGATGGTTTTGCATCATAAAAGGCTTTTCAAAACTCTGAATAAGAAGTTAAAGATCAAGCTAAATTGGGAAATACCTTTCTTAACTTTATAAACTATTTGTTTCGTACGCCTTAAAATTAGTTTTCCCAAAGCAGAATATTTAAGAATAACTTTATACAAATATTTCTGATAAATGTTTTATTACTTAAAATATAATAATTGATTATTTTTATTATATCATACTTTATATTTTTCTTCAATCTCAACAAATTTCGAAGTTTTGGGAAACAAAACTTATAGGCCATAAAATCGCACTTGAATTTATTTCAACACATTACCAATTATTCTAGGCCATTAAAAATAAAGATTTTATACAGCTCCTACTTAAGTTTCAATCCCAGAAAACACCCAGTGTTTATTACCCGGCAGATGGAACCCCGAATGTATGTAAATTCCACTTGATTCACAGTTTGCAGACCCAGGGGGGCTTTGCGTGATTGTTGTTATTGGATAGTTGAGGTTGTGCAAATAAACTAAAATAACTCAAACTCAAACTGAAACTGAAATCCGCACTGTGCGGCTGTTTTGGCTGGTTTTGATGATTATTCCACCTCACCCTGGCGTTGTGTTACTCACACCAGCTTTACTGTTGACTGCCGCCGGCCAAAAGCAAAAGCCAGTGTTGCGTGTCAGCAAATGAGCAATCGACAATCCTATAATGACCAAGTTAAGCGGGTCTGAAACACCCAGCGGTCAATTCTGTTTGTGCCTATATAATGTCGAAAACTTGTAGTTTGTCGTTGCCAGTTGACTAAGGTCTGGTCGTCAACGATTATTTATTCAGTGCTGACGCATTCAGTCACTTTTGAATCGGCTCAAATCGAATCGAATCCACCAGTTTCTCCACCACCATCACATTACCAGGCTGTCTGACTAAGAAACTGTGGAGCCAAAGCGATAGCCTTTTGAATGGAAAGGTCACCTACTGATAATGCGGATCGAACAGTTCGGATGGTGATGATTTTCTGAGAAATCAGCTCGGAATTCTCGGAACATTATATTGTTATCTCTTGATATGTTGAATCAGTGCCATGTACTATTTCAAACAAGTGTTTTCTTCAATTTGTTTTGTAGGATTTTCAATCACTTGTTAATCTTTTTACGTATAAGTATGTATATATTAGGTCTCGTTTTGTGGAATCGTTTGCAGTTTTGTGTAAGCAAGAACTAAATAGCGTTTACAATTTAAACTCTCAATTGAAATGAACATTTATTTGGAAATCTAGTGATTTGTACGTCTTTTTTTCAATGAAACTTCATACTACACCTACAATATCAAATAATAGAATAATAATCAAATAAGAAATTCAACAAAGCAACTGAATAAAAAGATTACAAATTCAAAGCCTTGGGTTAATTAATAATCTCACAATTTACACACAATTAACTACAATAATTTAAATTAATTTTTATAAAATCAACTTATGCATGCATGTTCTTAAAAGGAGTAGACACACCTTGATAAATGGCAGTGCCATCGATCAACGGAAGCATTATTCGTAATGCCGGGGCACTCCCAATCCGTCAACGAAACTCCCCCTCCGGAGTTTTCCCATGACAACCGCTTTATTCTCGTTCTATGTACATATATACTGCATAGATGCAAATTGCCTGGCTGGCTTTTGCAGCTCGGCTCTATCATTTAGCCATTTAAACTAAGCGGCTTCAAAAATCGATAACACACATAACTATGCAATGCGTAATTAGGCTGGCTATTATGTGCCATGTAATTATTTGTGAATCGGAAATTCGGTTTAGGATTAGATACCTATTTAAGCTGCACGTTAAACATTTATATCATTTCGGTTGATTTGACGTTATTTTTGATTTCTACAGCAATTTGGCAAAAATATTTTTAATATGTTTGCATACATAAAATCAAAATAAAATATATAAATTAAACTGCTATGTAAATAAATGCATTATTGCTTGATTCTACTTAATTCTACTTAAAGTGTTGAGTTTTAATCCTACTGAAATTGTTGAGTTTCAGTAGGATTATGTAAATTGAAACTGAAAGGTTTTTTATATTAAAATGATAAAAACTGGAGCTGTTTATTTTTAAACCGATTTTGTATGTTTGTTTTTCATAAAGGGCAATCAATTGTTCTTTTTTTGATCTTACGCTGTTTTTTTTTGCACTGTGCATTCAATTAGTTTTGATTGTCGCTTCGCTTTTGTCTCTCGCACGTTGACGATGCTCAATTAAAGAAGAAGTTCGCTCTATTGATTACGTTTAATGTCGATGACGAAGACGCCTTCCCCTGGAACTCCGCTGGAACTGGTACAAAAACAGAGCCCCTCCTCCGGGGGCAACTCCCAAAAGCGGTTCAAGTGAATGGTCAAACCTGTTTGCTCTGCGGACAACAGACAGCGGACAGCGGACAGCGGCCACATCGAATCGTGGGCAGTTGGGGGCATGTGCACGAGCGAGCGAGCGGTAATAATAACAAAGTTGGAGCCGCCGGACGGCGACGACGACGTCGCCAACATTTGCTGAACGGTTGAACGGCTGAACGACTGAGCGGCCCAGACATGATCACGTCGCCGTGTTGCTGCTGCCTCGGCTCTCTGATTGTTTGCGTTGTCTGTCTGCCCCGGAGTTTGGAGCCAAAGTGGCACTGAGAGAAAAAAATGTTTATTTTAAGTAACTGGGAAAAAATCCAGGACTTA